CCCCCTCATTGATAAACGGGCCTACCCTGTCCTTGGTCTTCCTCTTGCTTGTAATGTACTGGTACAATGTTTTCTTGTTACCCTTTATGTCTCTAGCTAGTTTAATCTGGTTTTGTGCCTTGACCTTTCAAATTTTGTCCCTACATATTTGTGTTATTTGTTTATATTCATCCTTTGTAATTTGACCTAGTTTGTAGGACTCTTTTTTGAATTTCATATAATTGAAGATCTCCTGGTTAAACCAGGTTGGGCAACACTTCCTCTGTTTTACAAATAGGAGAAACTGAAGCTCCAGGATGTTAAGATCCAAATTTTCAAAACTGGCCGCTAATTTTGGTTACCTCTGTCTCTCATATATCTTGACTTTAGTAAGGCTTATTGAAGTCAATAAGAGGGTTTCCATTGACTTCAGTGAGCATTGCAGGAGACCTATGGATGATTGATGTTCAGACATGCTGGAATCGATGGAGCTGTGGGTGATCAGTAACTTTAAAAATCAGGCCACAGTTGTCTATACTTGAACACCAAAAATACAGGGGCTAAATTTTCAAAAGTAGCCTAAGTGATGCCCAAGGTCACATGACCTGTGCCATTGGCAGAGCTGAGAAAAGTATACAGGACTCTCAACTCTCATTCTGGTGCCTTGTCCACTGGATCAATCTGCCTTTTCGGGCTGCGGTTATTACATGTTGTGTATATACATGTACAAAAGAAAAAAAAATAAAAATACCAGGCAACCAACACAAAATAAATATATGAATATAAAGATTAGTGTAAAGGTCAATTGAAAACTACATTTTCAAAGTAATGCTGAAAAATAATGCAGTTGGTAGAATGGTCAAAAAATTAGAAAATTTTTTCACATTTTTTCCCTCACAATGTTCATGAACAGTGCTACTGAAATTTCCACACTGGCTGCTCTAAAAACCACACAGAAAAACTTGTCAATTTTCCCAGGGTTTTTTAATCAAAATTTGAAATTTTGACAACTTTTTATAGCAACGTTGAATTTCCAAACACTTTCAACAAGGCATAATGGCTAGATTTATGTGTGTGCTCTTGTTTCAAGATTCCACTGGTCTTACTCCATCCTTTCCTCTAACTGAGCATATGCAGACTAGTATTCTCAAGAGGCTAATAATATTTATACCAAATTTATGTGTGTGCTGGCAGACCAAGGTCACGGCATTTAATTTGATTATCTGGAATGTATTATTCCAGTTGCAATTTGAAAAAAAAAAGTCAAATTTTATGCAAAGGTCAACAATTATGTAACTTCTTTCGGAGCTCTGTCAAAGCTTATTTAAGAAATAAGGTTTTAAAAAAAGCTGCAAGATTGCAGCAGTTTGTAGCATACATGTCAGCAAAGTGGAAAGAATATGACACACCAAATATATGTTTGTAATAGATCAGTGTGCAAATTAGCTGGATACTGTTAAGGTAGTGGCTAGATGGATCGAAGAGAACATGTTTTGGGATTTGTCATATTTCTTTCCACTCACTGACATACATGCCTCAATACTGTAGAATTCAGATCCAAATCTGGATCTGAATTTTGCTTTTGCTCCAAATTTGGGGATGTTCAGTGCTGGGGTTTTGATTTGTCCTATTATAAAGAAAAGTGTCAGCTGTAAAATTCATATCAAGTTCTAATTCCCCCCTTCCTCCCACTCCCTAAAAGTTCAAAGAGTTTTGGGTCTGGGATTTTGTTCAGTCCCATATCTAGTCACAGAGTTAGTCACATCAGCAGTAAGTGGGTGCAGGTCTAGTCCATAATTTAGGGTTGATGCTTTTTAATGTGGTCTAGTAGTTCACAGAGCAGGTGTGAATATTTCAGTGATTTTTTATAGGTCTTTTCATCTTTGTTTTTAAGTGCCTTCATGCTGAGAGGTGAGTTGTAGAACACATCTTAGGTCTCATGTGAGCAACTCGTATTACTTTTCCTTCTCGTTTAGTATGTGATGTAAAGGTGCAGGAATGCTCCTTCTGCAAACTATTATATACTCTCACATTTTGTTACGTGTTTCTTAAGTATATTGAGCTTAGCTTGCGTACTTTGTTTTATTTGCTCAGTAATCTGCTTTGTTCTGTCTGTTATCTCTTATATTCACTTAAAATTCACCTTTTGTAGTTAATAAACTTATTTCTTGTTTATAATATAACCCAGTTTATGCAATTCCTAATGGGGTGGGGTGGGCAAGAAGTGTGCACATCTCTCTTAACATTGAGGAAGAGGGTGGATTTTTATGAGCTTGTGCTGTGCAGATTTTTCTATACAGTACAAGACAGTATTATTTTGGGTTTATCTCCCCAAAAGCGGTGTGCACGTGAGGGCTGGGGGAGGCCTTTCACACAGAGATGACTTCAGTCTGTGGTTGCAGTGGGGTGTGGCCCTACCTATGTGTGTGTGTGCTGCAAGAGGCCGGAGAGCCTAATTCAGGAAAGCAGGAAGAGGAAACCCAGGCTGATTGAGCAGGGGAGGCTCAGTGAAATCCCAAGACATCAGGTGGCATTCCAGAAGTGGGTTCAACCCATCACAGCATGATCATTTAACTGCACAATATCTCAACATCACTGGAAGCTGTTGAAGTCCAGTTAATCCACCTGAAGGTCTTCTCACATTGCTTTTCACCATTATAAGACAGTAGAATCTGTGTTAGTAGTGTGGTGAGATAAAAATATATCTTTTTGGCCAAACCATACCCCCATTTGAAGATAGGTCAAAGCTAGTGTAGGCACGTTGTGCAGGCTGGGGAAATCCCTATTTGTGGTATGGAAATATCTTGAAAATCTGCATTTCTGCGGTTGAGATAAATTGTCTTATCAGCAGTTTATCTTACGTCCACCTCATGGATCTCATTGATGAATATATAGTCCGTTCAGAGTTTATTTCTCTTCCTCCTTTCATGTAATACTAGTTATGGTGAATGCTGATAACACAGTTGTTCATTTGGCCTTACTTCAGACCATCTTTGGGAGGGCCGAAAAATGAATATAAGTACTAAACATTCAACCCCCATGTTTGAGGATCATAGTTAGTAACCTGGTAATCCTTGAGCATTTTTGTGATACTTGTCAATACTCTCCAGCCACTAGCTGTGTGTTTAGCTTTGGCTTCTCCTAAACTTAAAAGTTTAAAATATTTGATGAAGAATATCTATACTGGCAATAAATTGAGTCTGGGTGGAAATTGACAGACTGATTGCTCAACTTGCACTGGAAATGTTCCTCTTCCCTGAAAAATTCATTTTGTATAAAAGTTTAATAGTTTTTAAAAGGTTTCTCTTCCATACAAATGAATAGCATGTTGGATCTACTTCATGTAATGTGTAATGCTGGCATTAATTTTGTCTTCAGAGAAAGACCCTCTGTCAGATTGCCAACAGGCAAAAGGACTACTGAAGTGATGGCTAAATGATTTAGAAATTAGTAAAATGGTGAATTAGCCATTTAAAATTTATCTAAGATAATGAAAACCAAGTAGAATGATTCAGACCATAAAACAGTATGTCTGCAGCTGAGGTCATGGGCTATGCTGTGCGAATTCCTATGTTCAGTTCACAACGGTAATGAAGAACATAGAATGTTTTGATTCTTCATGTACTAGCTTATCCCAAGAGAATACTAGATTCTAAGATCTAATATGAACATAAGCTCTTCTGTTTCCTTGCAACATGTTGTCTATGGTAATACATGCCATGTACCCTATACATTTAGGTACTTGATGTATTCGCCTTCAGGTAATGGGATATTGATATCCCAGTAGTTTCACACTGAACCAAATGGCCAAACCTGTGCATTTTTATTTTACTAGCGTATCAGTTTATTCATCACATGCAATATATTTATGTGAAAGCAATGTACAATTTCCATAAAAATACCGATAAGGAACTTCTGCAGTCCATTTCCTTTTTATTAATTATAGTAGCCTGTAGAAGCCCCAAACAGGATCCGGGCACCAATATACTCAGTGCTGTACTAACAAGTAGCAAATGACAGTCCGTGAGCCCCAAAAGACAGTTCCAAAGAGCTTCCATAAAATTAAATACTAGGATCAAACATCTCTTGAGTGGATATATGCAAATATAAAACCATAATTTCCTGGAGTAAAAAAACAATGCATTTTTCATGTTGAACCTTTTGGCCATAACGTGATATGAAACAGGTAGTTTCTTGTATATATTTAATGTTGTCATTGTCAATTGCTTTGAAACTGTTTCCATGAAGCAGTCTCCTTGACCACATTACAGAGTGTTCATACTCAACATAATTCCAGCAGAAAAATGTTTGGGCATATGTGTATGTGTGTGTGTGCTCTGTGTTGCTCTTTTCCTTCTAAAATTTAATAAGAAATTAGCAGTGGGGGAATAATCCCAGACAGTTAATTTAAGAAAGCTAAATAATGACACCTGGTACTTTAAGATATGGGGTACCCTCACCTCTGATTGACTTCAGAAACAGGCCCTAAATTTGCTGAGATTCATGTAATATAAACCTTTGCCTACATAACTGACATGAAGTTGCAGTCTACTTCCATGTACAAATGATTTTGCACTACTGCATCTTACTAACCTTACTTGAGCTTTAAAAGCTTCAGAGTCTTGGACAAACACTTTAAATGTTAGAGAAAAATACCCTACATTTTGCTTATAAATGTGAGTTCATGCTCTTCCTCCTAAAGCCCTTCATTCTTTCATCAAATAGGCTTCTTTTAAATTCATTGCTTTTTTCCACTGTATAAACTAGATGGACCTAGATACTTACAGGAAGAATGTAAAGCGTTCAGTTGTTATTAGAGTGACGATAGCTGACTCACACATGCAAAACATTAAAGAAAACTTACAAATGTTCAAGTGATTTTTGTTTTGTTTTAGGGCTATGGAGCACCAAACCACATCCTGTAATATACATGAATCTCCCCCTCACCCCCTGCTTTTTTTTTTATTATGCAGTATCATTTAAGGCTAATAAAACAATCAAGGACAACATTTTTATTCTCTATTCCCAGCATTTTATTATTTTTATTTAAATATAACATACTGTACATTGTTGATCAGCCTTTAAAAAAACAAAAACAAAAACCCCCACCCTCTTTAACTTGATCAGGAGTCCCCTCTTATGGTAAAAGGAACTATAATACTCTGGGAAGACTGTCTGCAGCACAATTCTACCACAGTAAATACCAGAGCATGCCTATAGTGCAGCCCATCATTTTCCTTCAAGAATTTTTTATTTTTGTTAACCATCAGGAACCAACCATTCGTTCCACAGAATAGCTCCTGTCCCCATCTCTATTCACTTTAGAAAAGTGATATTTTCTATTCTTGGCCTCTGTGAGCAGCGATATGTTTTGCTAGAAGCTGTTTTAGTGTTTTGAAATCCTGTAATTATGAATGTTTACATATAAACTCCCCTAAGTCATCTAAATGGTTCTGTGAAATGAGAACCTAGTTTGTAACATAGATGTTATTAAAGTGGTTATCCAATACTATATTTGCTCAACCAAACATTTAATTTTTGTTGTGGGTGGTCCATTATACATTGTCATATGCAATTATTACTTTAAAAATTTAAACAAGAAAGCCTCCCTCTCCATATGATAAGTTTTGCTATTCAGTCTCAATTACAAATTTAATTTTAACCTCTGAAATTCTACTGTCGGTCGATTTTTTAAAAAAATCTCATTTATTAACAAATAGGTTGGAAACCAAATACCATGAAATGCACTGGTAGCTGCAAGCCAAAATGCTGTGCCTCAAATACACTTTTTTGTTATAAAACAGACAACTTTGTTTTGAGGAACAGGAAATACAATCTGACCGTTCTTTATGTTTTACATGTTATGGGAAAGCTGCTGCTGCTGTTTTTTTTTTTTTTTAATACACAACTAATACTTAAATAACAATTAACATTGGAAGTGCTGGCTAAGGATTGACTCAAATAAGTTATAGAAGATCACAATAACACCAGCCTTTCTTCAGGTAAAACTTTAGTTAAAAAAAGAAAGACACAATTTAGCAAAACTCTCCTTTTGTATCAAAATACAGGTTCCAAACAATAAAAATAAAACCAACTTTCCCCCAACAATACTGAAGATAGAACTGCACGTCAATATAATCTCATAGTTATCACTTAAAAGTATTTAGAAAAATTATTATTATACTACTTTTTTTTCTCACTACGGACACCGCAGAGAAGTTTATGCATTTATTTAGTGGAATACAATGTGAAGACAGTGGTACATGTTGGCTGATGTACTGTTTTCTATTAAAAAGAAAAGGAGGACTTGTGGCACCTTAGAGATGAACCAATTTATCTGAGCTCACGAAAGCTTATGTTCAGATAAATTGGTTCGTCTCTAAGGTGCCACTAGTCCTCCTTTTCTTTTTGCGGATACAGACTAACACGGCTGCTACTCTGAAACCTGTTTTCTATTAATCTGCTCTAACAAAATGAATCTCAAGACGGTTATATTGATGAGTTTTCCAGAGCTCTCTAAATTTACAGAAATAAGTGAAGCAAAAAACAAACCTTATATTCCGTTAGGTTGACCAGACTTCATAATAGGCTTTAACTCATTTGCTTAAATTAAGCTGTGGGAATAGTAACATTTCATAAAAAGTGCCTGATATTGTGTTTTTTGAGCATTCATTTATTGTGATGGATATGAAAGACATTCTAACTTGGGACATGGTTGCTGTTTTTTTAGCTGGCTCTCATAATGTTATATGCATATGAAAGTAGTCTCTGTTAATTGCATGATCATGAATATTCTATGGTCTTTTTTCAGGAAATGGTCCCAATATATGTCTGTGGCTCTTCAAGCTGTTAATGAGGACAATTTAGTTGAACATGAAGGTTACTGAATAAGGACTGCAGGAGTGTGCTCTTTTTGGACTTACTTTTCGGGAGCCAAATTCTGCTCTCAGGTGCTTCCAACTGCACAGGATAATTCTGCTTGCATTTAAATGCATGCAATATTGCAATCTCATTAAAATCAATGGGCATGAGCCACATTTAGAGATTGTTCCAAAGGCCACTACAGGCAGTGAAAAGATTCCCATTAACTGCAATGAATTTTGGATCAGACCCCGAAGAAAGACTATACATTAGTCTCAAATACAAATCAATGGTATCTGAATTACATACACATACACATCCCAAACACGAACGCACCTGAGTACAGATTTGGCCTCTCCATCCACTTCATACAAGCAACAAGACCCTCCTGACAATGTATTTCTTGAAGTTTGTTCTTGAGTGATGGCAGGTAGGATTCACAAACATAAACACATCCAATGTGTGTGATAAATCTGAGCACTGCTTCAGGTCCTTTTGCTTAAGTGCAAAACAGTTTAGAAGAAAACAGATTGGACATATTCACTGCAATGCTGACTTTACCTTAAAGACTTGTCAGTTTCCTATTCTCAGGCAGTCAGTGAGGTTTTGAAAGTTTACTCTATCAACCCCCGTGAGAAAAGCTGAAAAAAGGGGAAGAAATAAGGAAGCAACTGAGGAAATCATTTAAAAAAAAAAGATATTTAACATCCTATTAAATAAATAACTTAGAGAGAAATAAAAAGGAATGAAGTTAGAATACACAGGCATACCATACTATTCATTTTGTTAGAACAGTTTAATTCTAATATGCTTATATTTCCTAATCCTATCCATTCTTCCATGAGGCTACTCCAGAAACTTCTTTATTTGTGCATATGACCCAAGTGCTTCCAGTAAATGCTTGCATGTTTAACTGTTCATTGGATCATTAGGCTTGAATGAGCAATGAAGGTCTTTGATACGAGTTAGTATTCCATAAATAACTTTCCCCGAAGATCATTCAACAGATTGTCTCACGTCCTGCAAGTTCTATCGCAGAGATAAAAAAACATTATTCACACTGGGAATAGTTCCCATCCCATTTGATCCAGCTTGTATCTTGATTATAAGATATGACACAGAACTAATTAAAAGTCCTTCATGTGCCAGCAATGAGCACAAAACCTTCAAAGGCTTCCCCCCTTTTTCAAACAAGCAGACGTCTGCATTGTTTCTTTGCTTTTACTCTTCAAGAGGATTACCAAGTATACTTGACAAAAGAGCCTTTGGTTCAACTGCATCAATAAAATAGTTCCTTCATCTATGACATTACTACCATTGGAAGAAAGTGAGCTGAGGTGTTTTTCCTCCTTGTTTTCTGTCCTCTCTTTGTAGCTCCTCTTCCATTCAAGGCCACAAACATTTGTCTTCCATTGTGCTTCCAATTTAAGGATGCGTATGTGTTGTATCCATTTTCTTCTATTCTTTCCTTCAATTTACAATCACTGTTAAACTCTTTCTGTAAGAAGAGAAAAATGAACAGGCCAGTTCAGAATGTAAAGACTTTTTAACCATATTGAGGATAAAATAATATCTTATACAATAATAACCTGAAGGATTCCAAAGTGCTTTACAACTTTTCCACATAATCTAGATGATTATTATAAAATTATACGGTTTGCTTATTGAAATATTTAATTGCATGCACATTATAACACATCGGTTATGCTACAAAATAAAAATGTAACCGATTGGGCAGTAAATAATTACATATAGTAATAAAATTATATAATTCACCCACTAGTGTAATGAAGCCACCTCTGGGATGGAACATGGCAGCAATGAAACATCAGTTTCTTAGTTATAAGGTTTCTCTACGTCACAATCATGGACTCATTCACTATGTTGCACTTCTAAACAAATGCAATCTTTGACGTGTCTTGATCCAGGTTATTGGTAGCACATGTTAAATGAATCTATAAACTATAAATTTTAAACTGTAAAGGCTCATTTAAACTAAAGTCCATTCATACCGCTGTGGCATTGCAAAGGAGACTTTAAGTGGGTGCAAATCACTCTGGCAGTGTAAATGGACCTTAAAGTGGGTGTGATGCCCCTTTAACATGCCAAAATGGTATAAAGGGCCTTACCAGAAATAAGGATCAGGACCTGAAAGATTTCAGTGCCTGGCCCAATATCCATATTGTAAGAATGTTCACAGTGAACCTAACAAAATTCTGCATGCACACTTCCAAGGATGAATGGTTTCCATTTTTCAAGAAAATTGGTATCAGTTTGCTAGGAGAGGATGTAAAACATAAAAGGCAAGTATGTTGTCATGAGAGGCTAATTGTTTGTGTAATATTTACCATACACAGATCTGCTTTTCAGGAGTGATGACAAGAATGTCTTTAATAAACAAATAGCTTCCATATTGAAAAAAGGAAGCCATTTCAATAAAGCCACTTAAATACAAATTGGAACTCTTTTGCAAATAGGTCATTTGAAACCCTGCACATTGAAATGTGCAGTAAGACACAAAGCAGTATATATTTCTGTAATTCCTACATTTCAGAAAGCAAGTTCGTATTTACAGGGAAGCCCAAAAGAACCCTACAATGGAACATGTAAACACTGACCTGACCTGCCTACCTACCTACATATGGTAATTCTAAGGCATCTATTCAAATGCCAAGACAAAAATTAACAAGAAAGAATATGCTGAAGTAATAAATTGTTATTTATGGTACAAATAAGATTATTTTGAGGTGCTTTAAACATTTTATTTTTGATGAATGTTGTTAGATACTTTGAGCATTTAAAATATAAAAACCATCCACAGATATATAGTAGGAACATTTATATAGCAGATAGTTTAAGTGAGTCTTTAAAATAATTACGTGGTTTCACAGACATTTGAAGATACATAGAGGCAATATACGAAAACTACTTTACATACAATTCATATAAATCTTCACTACTTATTCCTGTAGATTTCCATTTTAAAAAGTGATCAAGAGTTCATTATACTTAGATACAACTAAGAACTTTCAAACCCTTGCTTAATCTTTCACCTATCCTCAGGGCTTTTCTACCCTTGAAGGGCTACAGCTGCATTGCTGCAGTACTTTAATGTACACACTACCTACATCAGCAGGAAGGGTTCTTCCATCAATGTAGGTCATCCATCTTTCTGAGAGGTGGTACCTAGGTTGATGGAAGAATTCTTCTGTAGACCTAGCATTGTCTACACCAGGGGTTAGGTAGGCTTTACTATACTGCTCAGGGATATAGATTCTTCACAGCCGTGAGTGATGTAGCTGGGTCAACCTAACTTTTTAGTGCAGATCAGGCCTCAGTTATAAACTACAGAAAGCATACTTTTGTTTTCTTCACACAGTTGACTGACTCAGTCACACTCAATTTGACTTTCAGAATGCTCTGAGTCACAGTATTAGTCCATTAGCAGAGTTATGTAAGCTTGGAAAAACATCTCCAGGGGATATGCTCTCCCTTTCCCAAACAGCTCTTTATATTCATCACTTTAGAAACCTAAAGACTGCTTGGACTTGCTTTAATATTCCATCATTTGCTTTAATGGAGAAAAAAAGGCAAGTGGCCATTAAATTAAGCAACAACTCTAAGCCACATTAATTCTCCTTCTGTCTGGTCAGTCCTGAATCTGATAAATAAATCAAATTAATGAGCTCCTGCCCCTTTGCCTGCTCATACTAGCTGTAAAATACCAGTCAAAAAGGCTGGCAAATATTTTTGCTAAAAATAAAAATAACTCATTTGACTCCTTTTTCCTAGATGCAGAATTCTGATCCAAACTTTCAGACTAGTTCATAGATGACATAAAGAGATTAGATGATGGAATCAGGTGGTAAAAAAGTTTTACTGGCATAAATTTGGGCATCAAACCCATTAGTGAATTATGCAGGATATTCTAAACAAATGCCAGTGTCATGCTCTACCTGCATGTCATGCTCTACCTGCAAGTTTATATATGGTCACCAGCCAATCAGGGTCAAGATCATGTGGCCACTCAGGGAGCTGGCTGAGGAATCCTAGAAGCTAGCCTACCCACGTCTGAATTCTAAAGTAAGTCAAAGAGTTGGTGCAGTGGGATGGCCAGTGCTGCTTCCTGAGGACCCACTGGGCCTGGGTTCAAGACTGGAATTTGAGACCAGGGTCCTGACATATACACTATAGATATATGTAGTATGTGTGTAAACCAGAGTTTAGTTCACCCATTCATGGGGTTATATTATGTGCATCTGTGAAAATGATTGGTGATAATTCATATCTTACACAAACACATATTCTATCTTTTATAGGTAAGTACAGGTTTACCAAACTCTGATTAACCAAAGTTTGATTATGTTCCTGAGGATGTGATTATCCCCCTCTCTACAGTATTCTCATGCAATAATCAGCTTTGCCCCTTTAAAGCTGGTGAATCTGTAAAGCTGACCAGTATGCTGTCCAGTGCACTCTAGGGTTGGGAACCTGGTGTACAGCCTTTAAATGTCTTCCAAGCTGTTGCTCCATCATCTGAAACCCCTGTTTATGAGGTTTCAGATGCCCCCCCACCACATTATTGACAAACAGGATTGTACTGTAGACATGAAAGAATAAAATACTTTTAACATTTTAATTTCTTTTTAGATTCTTCCCAAATTGTCTACAGTTTTCATGCTGTGTTGGCTCCTACTTAGTGGGAGACCTGACCGGACCAGACACCAGAACATGCCATTTCCATGACGAATACCAGCAGCCACTGCCAAACTTTAGCCTAATGAACTAACCACGATGAGCTGGTTTATGAGAGCCTGAAATTTTGATGAACAACTCCTTGCAGCTCTAATTACTAGAAAATTACAGATAACTGAGCAAGTCTATGGTTATGACTCCTGCAGGGGGGGAAACTATGGTTATGACTCCTGCAGTCCATTTTGAAAACAAAAGCAACATACTTACAGAGCCATAGACTTTTCCTTTCTTGTTCATGGCTAAGTAATAGTTGCTGTTAATCGATTTAACAGCCACAACTCCAATTTCCACTGATGTTATCTCCAATATGCCTAAAATACAAAAATGAAATAAAATAAATCAATAAATGAGAGGCTCAGCTCAAAGACTTTTAATCATTTCATTGAAGAAAGAGATCTGCCCGTTATAGAAAAAAAGAGATCAAATTTAAAATGAATCCCTTCAAATCATGCTAAAATCCAGTTAATATTCAGAACCAACCAACAAGCTTTAGTAACATTCCTCTTCAAATCACTACAAGAGAATACACAAACATTGTTTCAATTATCATGTTTCCTTTGCTAACCCTGCATTTAAAACCCCCATAAAATACGTAAACAGCTCCACCCTTAGCATAGATTTCACTAAAAGTTACCAAAAGAGACATCTGAACTACAGCATTAAATTAAATCTACAGCATATGTCAATAGAATGTCAGATTTGCCCCAATCTTCAAAAACAGTGGTAATTCCTCGTAGGACATTTAGATAAACTAAATCTCTCGGCTGCATTGAGCTGATAAATTCATTTTTGGCAAGTGTGTTGACATTCTGGGATATAGTAAGACTAACCTTGATGTTCACATTATCTTGGGATGGCAGAGAAACACTCTGCTCTGTTTGTAATAAATGTGATTAGCATTTTTTTGTTAAAGAAGAAAGCTTTCTGGGATACTGAACGGCTCAAAGGACCAGTAATGGGATACAGAGTCTTTTATCTTTAGGTTATTTTAATCCATATTGGATTGTGAGTGTGACAAGTCACTGCCCCATGTGTGATGTTAGTGGTTCCTGTTAATATTAGACAAGTCTCAATATCAACAAAACCACCACAAAAATGTCATCCCACAGTGTCAGTAGCAGGCCAGTGGGTATGAAGATGGAGCTCAAACTGAACATGTCCACACTGGGATTCATATCTTGTTTAGGAGCCATATTTAAATTCAGGTTAAATATAGCTCATGTTAAACTGGTTTCTAACATGGCTTATGCAGCCAGTGTAGGTGAGTACAAACCTTTCTCCCTGATATATAAACAGGTCTATACGACATGCTAAAATAGTGGCCTGCCTATACTAGTGCTCATCAAGTTGATACAACCAGAAAAACTGCATGAGTGATCGCAATGGTGGGAAATTTTAGGAATAACAAATCCTAGGCCTTCCATACTGGCCAAGCAACCTTAGGGACAAATTTACTTGGAACCAGGTTTCAGCAAGTTTTCTACAGTGATGAGCTGCCAACACTTGAAGCAATGGCAACCCACAACAATTTCCCTCCAAGCTTGTGATAAACCTTGTGTCCAAGGGGTGCAAGTGCTCTCAGAATTAAGGGGTGGGGTGCTGGGGAATCCATTTGTTTTCCCAGTCACCTAAAAATTCCCTATTATAATCACAACTAGGGAAGAAAACAACATAACTAGGCATTCAGTGCATTAGCTGGCAATGTTTATTTTTTTTCCTTAAAAACCATATTGAGTACATTCAAACCACAGAACCTAATTTACTCAGTTTGAAGTGGGGCTTGGGGTGAAGACCTTATGTGAGGTCTTCCTTTCCTGGGCCTTTCTTTCATAATTGTGCTACATACAGGGAAAAGCCCATTGTGAGTGGGGAACATTGGTGGGGTGATGCTAAGAAGCTTGCAATAATGCTGTCTGGTCTGTAGTAAAGGAATTCTGCCTCTAGCATGGAGGGCTTGTAGGAGGAAATCTGTTGTTTGGCCCATGCATATTAAAAGCATTGTGAATCTATGTATGAGAGAACTAGCAGGTAATTTTTAATGGTGAACAAGCTGGTGTGGTAGTTAACATTTACCAAAAATAAAGAAAAACATCAAATGGACCCAGTCAATATTATGGATTGTTTTTTCTCACTGAAGGATATGTGGCTTCACTGGTGCATCCCGCAGCCACAGAAGTGAGAGAAGGCTTTCCACTGACCTGTTACGAGTTGGGTTTTGTACTAACAGCCTGCCACAACTAGCCGGATCCTGCTGTTCCTGCATGCACAAGAGTTTAATTGACTTTAATAAGAGCCACGAGCAGGAAACAATGGTGGAATCAGGCCCTTCCAAATTTCCTTTTTGAAAATGAAAGGCTATTTTTAAGCAGAAAGCAGAATTAGAAGTTTTCCAGTTTCTCCGTCTTGTCCACGTTGAGAGTTACAAACTATCCTTTGGGCTCTGTTTTTTGTTTATTTAATTTACTCTGAATTTATCAAATCTCTTATTACAAATTTAGGATGATAACAGATATGTGTGACTCAAATCTATACCTATAATAAAATATAAATCCTGACAGGCATGAATAATTGAGGCAGCCCATATTATTGGAAACTTTGAAACAGCCCTCTTTCCTTCTGCAGAAGTCTTGTGAGTTCATATTTTCATCTGAAATAAGATAAATCATCATAGTGTGGGATAATATAATGCACAGAATTCTGTAATCTAAACGAACTCCATTATGGTGAGATGAGCCTGATTATCTACTGAAGTCTACATTAATCTCCCCTGAGAACCTAAACACTTATAGTGTGAGTAAACACTGAGTGAAAATGCAATGAATAGTGGTGCAGGTCCACTGCCAGTGAGAAGCAGGGAAAGAGGTTTGCAATAAGATCCTGATCTCAACTCTCTCACCTCCAAAGGCAGGAAAAACAGTAACAGTAGAGACCCATTGGGAATCTGGAGCTTCCTGACTAGCGCCAGTCAGGAAAAGACATGGGCAGTCAGATCAGTGAAAGTGTATGATATCTCAGTCAACATTAACATACACATGCTTTAGGGGCTGACTGTAAAGTCAGCTTGAAGTATAACTTGAGTGTTGCCCCCAACCGATTCCCATCCACATAAACAAATCTCTAGCTTGAATTAGATGGTACTTTAAACTCAAACTAGCTGGCCTATCGGGGATGCTACTGATGTTTGAGCTAGTGATGGAATGGGGATGTGGCTACTCTATGCTGGCAACCCAATCACTATGGGTGTTGTTTTTGGTGTGGCCACTCTCCCTCGAGCCAGGCTAATGAGAGGTGTTAACCCAAGGTCTGTTCTATACTTAAAACTTAGATTGACATGGCTGTAGCACTCACGGGTGTGAAAAATCCACACCCCCTAAGTGCTATAGCTATGCAAACCTTACCTCACATATATATGCAGCTAAATCAATGGAAGAATGCTTCCATCAACCTAGCTACTATCGCTTGGGGAGGTGGAGTTCCTACAGTAATGGAAGAAACCCCTTCCATTGCTCGATTCTGTATCTTAACTACAGGATTGCCCTATGCCACTCTAGTGCCCATAGTGTAAACATGGCTTAACTCTTTAGTGAAGATGTACCCTTTGACAGCATAGCCAAAGGGAAATAAGGCCGGGACAGGAGTGAGGAGCTCCCAAGTTCTAATTCTAATTCTGCTTCTATTACAGTGGAGGCTACATTGCGTCATTTCACCCTTCCATACCCTGGATTCCCCTGTAAAATGGGGCAATAATACTTCTTTACTAACCACAGAGGAGAGTTTGAGAATTAATTAATTAGGGCCAGATCTCAGATGACCTAAACCAGTGTAGCTCCATTGACTTAAGTGGAGTTAAGGCAATTTACATCAGCTGAGGATATGGTTTTTAATGTTTACACAGCTCTTTCGAAATTTATTGCCACGTTCACCTGTCACACCCATATAGCTTCAGCCCATATTGGCTTTCCTACAAGAGCATTCTATGATGAACAGCAGCTCTCTAGTTTCACCCAGCTGTTGGCCATCCATCTCCCTCAAAGTACTCCAGCTCAGAAACAAGCATCGCTAAATGGAGTGTATAGGACAAGCCCTTGGTGGGGTGAATATGTGGTGCAAGCACTCCCTCCTCTGCCAGCTGCTCCCTTTTCCTGTGTGATTGATATGTTTTTGCTCTTTCCATGCCAGACAGTGATGGGGAGAACACAGACCATTATTTATAAGGAAATTTTAAATGGCTGTAATTCCTAGTGTGGTTCAAATAAAACCAGGTTGGATCCATTTCTAACAATAAAAAATCTACATTAGCATTTCAAGGGACTTTATTAATAAAGATATGTCAATTTTGATTAAACTGAATTATATTTTGTCATATTATACTTGTAAGAATTGCAACATGTTAAAATAAAATGTCATTCTATTGACCAATATAGTATCACTTTTCAATGGAATATATTTGTGAAATTTTCAAGTGCAGTTTGAAACTGGATAGTATATTACTCAAGTACAAAATTGGAATTGAATTAGCCAGTCCTGTTTTGTACTTGAATGATGCACAAATATGTTGTACGTTGATACAGTACTTTAATGCCTACAGTGCAATGAACCTTACTCAGTAGAAGATCAAATACAATAGATTTTTCTGGTAAACTGTGGTCAATCTCACACTCCATGTTATCCTCACTGATAGAGTGGAAACTAACTCACCAGGATGAATGTTATTGCACTGGAATTAGTTTGACTGCACCGAGTAATGCTCGCCTAAAATGTGGCTAGGTTCTTCTGAACTATTATCAGTTTACCATCACCATTGGTACAGGATTTATTCTCACTGAGTAAGTATGTTTTAAAAACTTGGAAGCGTGGATAAAAACCATGATTTATGTCCCAAATTATAACTTCATAAATTCTCACCTCCAGAGTCTTTCTGGAGATTTCAGTGGAGGTTCATGTTTGAAATTAATCCTATGTTCTTAATTTACTCTCAGGTGGGTAACATCAACCAAATTCTGTGCTTACTTCCGCCCCCCTTCCCCATTGCCAATGCAACCCTGGAAACTTCAATAGAGCTGCACACTAGGTCTGTACAGAATTTGGCTCTACTAGATCACAGTGCTTCTCTCCCTATGCAATTTGGCCTACCGTATAGTCTCTTCTTTAGAGAAGTTATGTTTCAGGGCCCCAATTGAAAGTCCATTTAAGGCAATGGAATCTTCCTGTTTATTCTGTGATACAGCCATATGCATAATAAAATTTAGATGAGACCACCAGTTAATTTGACATAGGTCACAAAAGAGCCACATATTGACTTTCAGAGCTG